AAAAAGACAGCATATACCCGTTCAATTTTCAAGTAACTTCAACTCTTTAGCGAATAATATCTCTACATTTTTTGTTATCAATACATTTGAGAGACTCAAAATACAAATGAAAATCAGTCATAAAGACCTTCAAACAGGGTTTAGAACTATTTCTTTTACTTTTATGAATATGAAATTGACCAAATAAAATCATTAGATTCATCATAAAATTGACACATGCATTTTTTTCATTCAAAATATAAGATATTATATTAATTATAACCAGATTTATGTTGAATATATATAGATACATCTTCCCAGAATTTTTTGGAACGGTAACATTAAAAAAAAAAAAAAGATGTAGAATTCTTTCTGGCTGATCTGAACAAAATGAACATTTTTCATCAATATCCATACATTTTGCTAAAGTATAGTTACTAACATAAATACTATGAAGTACTTTCAGATGTATTTCCCGAAGTTTGTTAGCTATACAAAACCGAAAGGGAAGAAGCCAAGCTTTTTTCCAAAGAATCTCTGGAAAACAAATGTTCCAGAAAAACATCCCTCTTCTCGTTTCCCTTCTTTGCGTTTTATTTCTACAGTCACGTGCAGGAAATGAGCAAAACACTACCGCGGTCAACTACATGTTGGTAGGTCCTGTAATACTCTTACATGCAAAAAAATATTACATAGCGTAACAGAAGAAGATATTATATCACCGATCTTGATGTTTTAAACAGAGAAACGCGATAGGGCTATTGCAACGGAAAACAAGTAACGTTAGCTCAGCTAGAATGCAATGGTGTATTCTGCATGATTGGGATCTTATTGTTTCACTTGCACAGTTTAAGTGCAAACAATAAATGACGTGAATTTCTTTAGAGATTGTTCTGTATTGCATATTATTACAATGATGGTGTTAATAGAGTATTTCATTCAGCTTGTTGCTGTTGCTTGTGTTAATCGTTCATTGGGTATTGATCTGTCTGATTGCAGAACAGCTAAAATTGCCATGAAGGGACTTTACTGCAAACCAGGAGACCAGGGTGATGTGAAGTTTGTCCTACAGGAGACAGTAAGAGTGCATGATTATGCCATTACGTTTTCTGTTGCATGCATTTACATATCCACAGTTTCCTGAAGAAATCTGCAATAAGCTATTTCTAATTGCATGATGTCCTTGGTTTCCGGTCACAGAATGTACCCACTAACCTTGGCAGCCATCAGGTCAAAGTTCAAGTGAAAAGCTGTGCACTAAGTCCAGTTGATTTTAAGGTAATATAATTGTCAACAAGATGGCGAACAACGTCTGGCGATTTGATGCGAATGACCTGCAGAACTGCATGTTTATAATACATGATGGACATTATTTCTCAAACAGCGTTTTGTTTTTATACATAATATTTGCATTCATCTTAATCTGTTTTTCAGCTGTACGAGGACCTCAAGTTTGAGAAAGAACATGTCCCAGTTGGAAGGGAGATCGCTGGGGTTGTTCTTCAAGGTTTACATGGCGTGTTGTATATTTGACACCATTACCATTTCAAATCTAATCAAATCAGTTTGACTGATAAATCTGATGTGATGCATATCCTTCTCCAGTTGGACCCAAAGTTACCTTTTTCCAGCCAGATGATGAGGTTGTTGGTAAGAACTTTATTAGACTCTCATTTTTATCAAGAGTCTGCTTTATACGTGTATAATCAAATAATCATTTGCATGTCTTCTCAGGGATTCTTCCATTGGATGCTGAACAATCTGGCCTTTGCTCCATCGTGGTTACTGATGAATATAATTTAGGTATTGCTCGCATTACATTATTGACAATAGTCCTACCGACTACTTTTGATTTCTCATATGCTTATGTTTTAATAACAGTTCAGAAGCCTGAGAAAGTGAGCTGGGTTGAAGCAGCAGCAGTAATTAAAGATGGTCTCAGGGCTTACACTGCTCTCCACACTCTGGCTCGGATGGCTGCGGGTCAGACTGTACTGGTGCTGGATGGGGCTGGTGTAGGTATCTGTGCAGAGGTCAACACTTTTCTGATGCGTCCTATTAGCATATACCCTACTGTTCAGGTTTGGGGTCGGCAAGATTTTTTTAATGTATTATTATTTTTTAAATAAATGTTTTAGTTGCTCACCGAGGTTGCATTTATTTTTCTTTTTAGAAAATATTACAGAAACTATTACAGAAATGTACAGTAAAAACAGTAATATTGTGAAATATTATTACAACTGTTTTGGATTTTAATATAAATATAAAATGTAATTTATTCCTGTGATGCAAAGCTGAATTTTCAGCATCTTCTGAAACATGATCCTTCAGAAATCATTCTGATATACTGATTTGCTGCTCAAGAAACATTTCTGATTATCAATGTTGAAAACAGTTGTGCTGCTTCATATTTATGTGGAAACTGTGATATGTTTTTTTTTCTCAGGTTTTTTAACAAATGAAAGAAAGTTGAAAAGAAATAGAAGAAAATCTTTATCGTCACTTATGATCAATTTAATGTATCCCTGCTGAATAAAAGTATTAATAGCTTTCAAAAATAATTTTGAATGATAGCATATATATGTTAAAACTGGCCAATTTTGTCATTCTGTTATTTTGAAAGTGGATTTTTGTTATTATTTAGTTGTCTTCTCATGTTAGAATCAACACAGCACTTCTACAAGCATTATTTGGCTCCCTGCATTCGAAATCTCAAATCATTATCATGCACTTCCTGTTTTGTGTGCATGCAGCCCTTTGGAGTTCTGGCCATTCAGCTCGCCCACTATCACGGTGTGAAAGTCCTGGCTACAGCATCATCTCCGGAGGACCAGACGTTTTTGGAAGAGCTCCGGCCGAGTGTGGGTGGGTACTGAAATGAAGCATTGTGGAGAGAGAGGACCGACAGCGAAGATATTTTCCACATGAAGTGTCAGTTTAGAAAGTTCAAGCTTAGTTTGACTTGGCGCTTTCACTGAAAGTGTAGATTTATGAAACACTTGGCATGAGTTGCCAGACAAACTGAAATGGCAATTCAAATGGAGCAAATCTCTTTTAAACTTCAGTTGTTAGCTCTTCAAGTTTACCTCTCATATTTACGGTACTTGATGTGGATTTCCTGAGCATATGAAAAGCATCACACTCGTATCATTTTATGTACTGTGAAGTCTAAAATCTATTCAAGTCTAATCAAATGTAGAAATACTTAAGTCTGGATTGTGGCCGAGATCGTTGCCAGTTTCTAACCCATCCTTTCCTCTGGAAATCAAAACTGATTTCATTTGTCCTAGATATTTGTCTTTCCTTTTCTCTTCTCCCTTAAGCATCTTTTTGTCTTTCTTTGCCTTTTGACTTTCGTTTTCATCATCTTTCTTCCTTGTGCCACTTGCACTTTCTCAAGGTGTGCAGGAATCACTTTTGGGTAAGTTATATATGGCAGCAATGTCTTCTATAAGTATTCCTTCGTCGTATTCTCATAAGCCTCAAATCAAATAAATACAAATACAAAATACATCAGCTTGAAATGCTTAATCAATGTTAATTCGATTTTTTGTAAGCATCGGTACTTAAGTGTATCTCTTCCCTCAGCTCGAGTGATCAGAGTGTGGGACTCTAAGCAGGATTTGGTGGACTCGTGCCTTGAAGAAACTGGAGGTCTTGGAGTGGACATCATCATTGATTCAGGAGGTTTACCACCACTTTACATAACATTTGTAACTATTTCAACATAGTCTTCTCATATGTGCTTTTAATTAATTACATTATTACTTACCTTCTGTCCAACAAGCAGTTGTGCTGCAAGATGTAATTTATTATATAAATGCTGGGAATACATATTCTGTTCAAAACGTTTGGGGTTGGTAAGATTTGTAATGTTTTTGAACTAAGTCTCTTATGTTCGCCAATGCTGCATTTATTTGATCAAACTACAGTAAAAACAGTAATAATGTGAAATATTATTTTAATTTGTATTTCTATTTTAATATGTAATTCATTCCTGTGATGACAAAGCTGAATTTTCAGCAGCCATTACTCCAATCTTCAGTGTCACATGATCCTTCAGATATAATTTTAATATGCTGATTTGAAGAAACATTTCTACTTATTTTGTTAAAAACAGTTGTGCTGATTAATATTTTTGTGGAAACCATGATAGATTTTTTTTTCAGGATTCTTTGATGAATAGAAAGATCCAAAGTGCAGCACTTATTTGATTTTTTTTTTTTGTAACAATGCAAAAGTCTTATACTGCCATAAAACTAAAGACCTTGCTGAATAAATCTATTATTCTTATTTCAAAAAATTTGCACGAACGGCAGTGTACATGTTCATTTTCAATCAGCAGTCTATGATTTTGAGCCTTTTTTTGAACAGTGAGACTCTATGAGGAGGAGCCAGAAGCACAGAGGCATTGCCCACATAAACATGACCTCCTTACCCTTCTTTCAGTTGGAGGTCACTGGGTCACCACAGAACAACACTTACAGGTTAGCAGCTCCTTCAAAACACATATACTTAAGCAATCAGCATTATACGGGTCTTCATTTTATACATCAAATATTGACTAGCAGCATTGATTTTTACATTTTTACATTATACATTTAATACAATCAATTTTATCCTCTTTTCAAAGCTGGACCCTCCTGACAGCCACATTCTCTTCCTGAAGGCAGCATCGCTCTCATTCCTTAACGACGAGGTGTGGACAACATCCCGGGCCAAGCAGGGCCGATATCTTCGTATCTTTTACTACAAATTTCATTAATCTTTAACTGCCTTCTGATTGGTCAGCATTCAGCCCTCGGCTTTGTTTATTGGCCTTAAAATATTAATTACTCAAAGTTTCCAGCTCAATCTAGTTTCGTTTACATTTATGTATTTGGCAGATGCTTTTATCTAAAGTGTCTTATAGATATGTTTTCTTTCGTATATTACTTTCCATGCTACAATAATGTACATTAAAAATTTGTTTTTTGAACATTAAAGCATGTCAACATATTCTGTTACACCAAATACACAAAATAATGATCTTTAAAAAAGCATCATATGACCCCTTTAATATAACCCCATGAAAACGGCTCTGATAAGCTGATCCTTATTCTTTACACAAAACACAGCTTTACTCTCCAGTGGAATGAAGAAGGGAGATATGACTAGATGGTATCAGAGCCATTTTTCTGAAATCGCTATATTTTGCAAAGAGGTCATTGGGTTCCGGAGTGTGCATATGGCTAGTCCATGACAGTTTGATGTATTTGAGACCTGAGGGTTTTCTCCCAGTGTCCTTAGGCTACTGGAACAACCTTGTCAACAACATAAAGGACACATGGTTTCCTGTTTGTAACTGGGTTATTCGCCTTTAGTCTGCTCTCTCTCTCAGATATCCTGAAAGATGTGATGGATAAACTCTGCACAGGGACCTTCAGGTGAGAATGAGGAATAAACAAGTGTGTGAAAGGAGAAACAGATTATGTGTTTGTACAGGAGAAATTACACAAATTATGAACTTAAAACTGAATGTATGTGGGCCGTGTTTGTAATGCAGAGAAAAAGTGTGAAATCAGCTTTGTTGTGTGAATTTGACCGTTGTCTCCCCGCAGGCCGCAATTGGTGGACCCTGTGCCTTTATATGAAGCTACGGTCTCCATGGAGATGGTACAGAGAAAGCAAGCGAGGAAAAGAATAGCTGTCAAGCTTTGAAGAGGGCTCAAAATATTTTTGCCATAATTCTGTAAATTTTAGCTGTTATAAATCTCATGTTTTTGTCAATTGCACTTTCAATGGATTGCTGGTATTTAAAAACATTAAAATTCTTTAACTGGAAATCAGGCTCATTCCAAAAAAGCATGCATCACAAAGCAAAAACTATTTACATTATACAAAAAAGTGTGTGTGTATAAACTTTTGAAATTATTTACACAAAAACATTTTTCTTAGAAACTTTGGCCTAGTTATGACATACTGTATATGGGATTTTCCCTTGTCAAGCATTTCCCAATGGATTATTAACAGCACCATCTGATCCCATTTCTTTTGCCTATTAATATGGGCAGCTCTGTATGGAAAAGGACTGGATAATGCTGACCTAGAATTCGGCATCATTGTTCAGAGGTATGCATTTGATTATCAGTAGTCTCCTACCAGAAACACAGCATGTAGCTCATTTGCTTTCAATAGAAGATTAGTGTTTGTTAAGATCTCATTGTCTTAAATGTCCCCTCATCTTCCTGTCCACCATTCTTAAACTGTCACAGCTTTCTAGGAGAAAAACAAATTGTTGAAGCTCAGAAATCCCACACTGTGGGGCATATAAGGATATCTAAAGATTGTTCACCTAAAAATGACAATTCTGTCATCATTTACTCACCCTCATGTCGTTCCAAACCGGTATGATATTATTTCAGGGAACACAAAAGGAGATGTTAATAAAAAGTTCATGCTATTGAGAGGGGATATTTCAAATAAATGAAAATGATTTTTAACAGTTTTAGTTAACAATAACAACACTGATAGAAAAGAGCAGCATGAACATTCTTCAAAATGTCTTTTGTGTTCCACAGAAGAAACAGTCATACATGTTTGGAACAACATGAGGGTGATTAAATGACAGAATTTTCGGATTTGGGTGAACTATTCTTTTAAGTAATTTGGACTCCCTGTAGTTTTTAAGGTGGTTGTGTTAAGGGCTGTAGTACAAAGCTCAAGCATATCTGCTGGCTCTGGGCTTGTGTCTAAATCTTGGCAGTGACAACATGAGGCTTCTGGTTCCTCAGTGTTCTGAATGCCCTACTGTTACCACAGTGACTATTGTCCCCAGAGGTTTTGAAGAACCACTCGTGTGTGTTCCAGAATCCTTTGCTCCTCTTGTCTCAGGCTCTCCACCACACATAGTTGTTCAAGGAGAGACAGGTTTGCACACTGTTTGAGCTGTGATAGCTGTACAAATGAAAAGACTCAGACTGTAAGTGGTTTCATATCTTTAATTAGACACAGGCAGCATTAAGAGCCGATTTAATTCGACTCACCCTCTCTAGTGCTTTGACATTGTCATCGGTGAGGTTATTGCAAAGCTTTAGGGCATTGTGAATGCACCACTCCTCCCTATCCCGGCTCACTCCTGCCCCCAAGAGGACACTCTTCCAACTAGTACTACAGACAACAACATTAAAATCAATTTTGAATATATTCAAATAAATAGCATAAAATAAACTATATGCAAGTAAAAGCAATAACAATGACATGTATTTTGCATCAACACGCATGCAAATAATGTGTTTAGGATGTCAACTTCTCACTATTGCTCAGGTTTCAAGGACAGCAGTCTCAGTGCAGTCATCAGTCGCCAGGAAGGGCCATCCATCCCAAACGTCAAGTTCCTGTTGAAGAGTGAAACCATATTAAACTTGATTTGCTGTACTAAACCATTACTGCATTGTAAAAACTGACCATGAAGTTGCTGGCACAACGTACTACAGAATTTATAAGAACTGCTAAATGTCCTTGTAATCATGAATTTAACTTACCTTAAAAAATCATTGTCCCTTAGGTAGAGTAGTTTTTGTGTTAGCTGTTTGTCTTGTTCATCTAGACACCATTTTAGAGTTCCTACAATAACAACAGCGATCAAAGCAGTTCCATAGTATTTAATGTTTACATGTAGAATATTTAATATTTGTATGTATTTTCCTTACCCAAATCAACATGTACTACACTGTGGGGGTTGTCAGGGGCAACAAAGCCATATTCCAGAAGAAGTCTGTGATTATCATGAGGGCCATAATTGATGAACGCTTGCTGAAACTTCTTACAGCCTTGGACACTTTTAACCTCATAACAGCAAGTTTCTTTGTTGAAGCCAGCTTCAACCTGCACACCAAGAAAAGTTTATTTTCTTTACTTATAACTGCAACTTTATTATTTTGTAAGAAAGTACACTACTGCTTAAATGTCTAGGGTCAGTGTTTTTTTTTTTTTTTTAAAGAAAATAATACTTTTACTCAACAGAGTTGGATTCAATTGATCAAAAGTGACAGTAAAGACATTTATAATGTTAAATATTTCTATCTATTCAAAAAAACTTCTATTTCAAATACATGATGTTCTTTTAAACATTATATTCATCAAAGAATCCTGAAATAAATCTATCATGATTTACACCAAAATATTACCCATGGTGAACTATTCTTTTAAGTAATTTGGACTCCCTGTAGTTTTTAAGGTGGTTGTGTTAAGGGCTGTAGTACAAAGCTCAAGCATATCTGCTGGCTCTGGGCTTGTGTCTAAATCTTGGCAGTGACAGCATGAGGCTTCTGGTTCCTCAGTGTTCTGAATGCCCTACTGTTACCACAGTGACTATTGTCCCCAGAGGTTTTGAAGAACCACTCGTGTGTGTTCCAGAATCCTTTGCTCCTCTTGTCTCAGGCTCTCCACCACACATAGTTGTTCAAGGAGAGACAGGTTTGCACACTGTTTGAGCTGTGATAGCTGTACAAATGAAAAGACTCAGACTGTAAGTGGTTTCATATCTTTAATTAGACACAGGCAGCATTAAGAATGAACCGATTTAATTCGACTCACCCTCTCTAGTGCTTTGACATTGTCATCGGTGAGGTTATTGCAAAGCTTTAGGGCATTGTGAATGCACCACTCCTCCCTATCCCGGCTCACTCCTGCCCCCAAGAGGACACTCTTCCAACTAGTACTACAGACAACAACATTAAAATCAATTTTGAATATATTCAAATAAATAGCATAAAATAAACTATATGCAAGTAAAAGCAATAACAATGACATGTATTTTGCATCAACACGCATGCAAATAATGTGTTTAGGATGTCAACTTCTCACTATTGCTCAGGTTTCAAGGACAGCAGTCTCAGTGCAGTCATCAGTCGCCAGGAAGGGCCATCCATCCCAAACGTCAAGTTCCTGTTGAAGAGTGAAACCATATTAAACTTGATTTGCTGTACTAAACCATTACTGCATTGTAAAAACTGACCATGAAGTTGCTGGCACAACGTACTACAGAATTTATAAGAACTGCTAAATGTCCTTGTAATCATGAATTTAACTTACCTTAAAAAATCATTGTCCCTTAGGTAGAGTAGTTTTTGTGTTAGCTGTTTGTCTTGTTCATCTAGACACCATTTTAGAGTTCCTACAATAACAACAGCGATCAAAGCAGTTCCATAGTATTTAATGTTTACATGTAGAATATTTAATATTTGTATGTATTTTCCTTACCCAAATCAACATGTACTACACTGTGGGGGTTGTCAGGGGCAACAAAGCCATATTCCAGAAGAAGTCTGTGATTATCATGAGGGCCATAATTGATGAACGCTTGCTGAAACTTCTTACAGCCTTGGACACTTTTAACCTCATAACAGCAAGTTTCTTTGTTGAAGCCAGCTTCAACCTGCACACCAAGAAAAGTTTATTTTCTTTACTTATAACTGCAACTTTATTATTTTGTAAGAAAGTACACTACTGCTTAAATGTCTAGGGTCAGTGTTTTTTTTTTTTTTTTAAAGAAAATAATACTTTTACTCAACAGAGTTGGATTCAATTGATCAAAAGTGACAGTAAAGACATTTATAATGTTAAATATTTCTATCTATTAAAAAAAAACTTCTATTTCAAATACATGATGTTCTTTTAAACGTTATATTCATCAAAGAATCCTGAAATAAATCTATCATGATTTACACCAAAATATTACCCATCTAAACTGTTTTTAACATTGATCAGCATATTGGCACCAAATCAGCATATCAGAATGATTTCTGAAGCATCATGTGACACTGAAGACTGGAGTAATGATGCTGAAAATTCAACTTTGATCACAGGAATAAATTACATTTTGAATTACATTCAAATAGATAACGGTTATTCTAAATTGTAATAATACTTCACAGTATGACTGTTTTTACAGTAATTTGATCAAATAAATGCAGCCTTGGTGAGCATAAGAGACTCCTTTCAAAAACAAGAAATCTTACGGACCTCAAACAGTAGTGTATTTCTGTTAGGTGCTCTTACTTGGACATTAGGACAGTGGTTCAGCAGGTCAAGGTATGGTGCAAGCGCATACACATCCTTCTCCCTGGAGAGATAGTCACTCTGATCATGCTCCATGTACACTGTACGTGTGTTAACGCTGCACCAAGCCCACCGCAGTGCATCCTGGGTAAACAGCTCCTCTGTGGGCTGGGTGAAGAGTGGCTGGAGGGAGTGGAAAAACATCAGGGAAGAGCAGTAGAGTTCCTGAAACTGTTCTGGAATGATTTCTGAAGCATCATGTGACACTGAAGACTGGAGTAATGATGCTGAAAATTCAACTTTGATCACAGGAATAAATTACATTTTGAATTACATTCAAATAGATAACGGTTATTCTAAATTGTAATAATACTTCACAGTATGACTGTTTTTACAGTAATTTGATCAAATAAATGCAGCCTTGGTGAGCATAAGAGACTCCTTTCAAAAACAAGAAATCTTACGGACCTCAAACAGTAGTGTATTTCTGTTAGGTGCTCTTACTTGGACATTAGGACAGTGGTTCAGCAGGTCAAGGTATGGTGCAAGCGCATACACATCCTTCTCCCTGGAGAGATAGTCACTCTGATCATGCTCCATGTACACTGTACGTGTGTTAACGCTGCACCAAGCCCACCGCAGTGCATCCTGGGTAAACAGCTCCTCTGTGGGCTGGGTGAAGAGTGGCTGGAGGGAGTGGAAAAACATCAGGGAAGAGCAGTAGAGTTCCTGAAACTGTTCTTTCTGCTCTGTGGCTTTCTTCTGGAGGCTCCTAGGCAAAAGGTCAATGATGTCATCAGAGAAGTACACAGGGCATGTGTAGGTCTTTGGGAGGATATTAATGTAAGAACTCCACTCTGATGCATCGCCACCATATCTCTCAGAAATGAGGAAACAACAAAGAGCCAGAAGAGGAGATATGGGAGGATGCCATCTACAGGAAGAAAGAGAGAAACCAAACTGACTTTATTCAGACCTCATGGTCCATTTCAAACATCTATTAGCACAAAAATATATATATATATATATATATATATATATATATATAATACTAAAAAGTGATTGATTTTTAAAATATAATGTAATATAATATAACAATCAGTCCAAATACCTTTTAATATAGTCACCCATGTAACTCTTCAGAACTGTCCTGGTGGTCAGTAAGCATTTCTCAGGCAAGGAAATAACACTGTCTTTGGCCTGCAAAGGTAACAGATCAGTATATTTTTATATTATCAATGTGGTTTCAGATTTTTGAACCCAAGTAGCCTACATATATTTGTATATGCATGCATACACACACAAATATATACAAATAATTACCTTGATAGTTTGAGTTGCCATAAGCCCCCTTCCAGTATCTAAGTGGAACAAACATAGTTAGTAACATAACTAAGTGTGGAAATGTACTATACGTGGATGCTATCTACTTGCCATGGAAGTTGACAGGGATGAGAGACTGTGAGGCGAATCCTTTTTCTTTCAGCCATCTCCTCAAAAGAACAAACTGAGCTTCGTGAGTCAGAGTCACTACAGGAGCAAAATACAAACACAATTCAGACATCACACACTATACTACAAAGTTACAATATCTCAGCATGGAAACTGAATACCTTTGGAGACATCCTCGTGTTTTTTGCGTCTTTTCCCCCTAGCTCTTCTCCCAGCACGGCAGCCAGGTTTATTCATCTTAAAGTGTCCATATAACAGCGCTATCTAAAGCTCACTTCGGGTGTAATGTCATTCTGTACAGCAGGTAGAAATGATACACATCCACATGGTCAAAAACACAGCCGGGTCACGTGCTTCAATCGTCATTGTCTTCGAACCAATCGCTGTCCTTATAGAAAATTATATAAAAATATTTACGTAAAAAAAAAAAAAAAAGATTTACAGCTCATAACTGTTGCTGTGTCAGCAAGCAAAACACGACGCACATGACATAGACAATGCAATGCAAAGCGTATTTCTCCGCGCATGCGCAGCAAGTAGCGTCGCAATCCAAAAACTGCCAAAAACAAAAGTGAATTGATCATCGCGGAGTACTTTATGCATACGCTTCCCAAACGCTTTTAATTTCGTTATTTGATTAATCAGGCTGCTGTATCCGTTGTGTCACAGAATATGGTCTTATTTACAGACACATTGCAGCTCTGAGCAGCAGCAAAGTAGCTCTGGTCACTGGTGCAAATAAAGGCATTTGGTTTGCAGTAGTGCGGTCGCTGTGCTAAGAGTACTCCGGGGACGTGTACCTGACAGCCCGGGATGTCGGTCGAGGAACCGCGGCAGTGGAAAGTCTGAAGAAGGAGGGTCTGACAGCGCTCTTCCATCAGCTGGACATCAGCGTCCGTGCGCACGGGACTTCTTCACGGAGAAGGACGTGCTCATCAACAACGCTGGGATCGCCTTCAAAGGTGACTGAAGGCATTAGTTCAGAAATTAAAGGTGCTGTATGTAAGTTTTTGACTTTTCTAAAGCATAAAAAATACCATAATATGTTTGCAGATATTTAAGAAACATGCTAACATACTTGTTTATCTGAAAAACAATGCTAGTCTGTTATTCTCCTTTGAAAATGTGCGTTCCGGGGCGGAATGTCCGTCTCTGTTTTGGTTTGTGAAACCCGCCCACTGCCAGTTTACGGCACCCCGGGTTGCCAGTTGGCGGAAAGACAGCGTATTTCATTTCATTCATCGGCAAGCTCACTCGTTCCTGTTGGGGTCGTCAATCTGGCAACCTGCGTTTGCGTCAAGTCTGAGGAGGGACCGGGGGAAAAAACCCATCTCCAATATTTTGAATTTGGACTGCAATACCTAGTTCAACCACTCGGTGTCAATCCTACATACAGCACCTTTAACCCTCAGGTGTTCATCACTTAGGGGCCACACTTGTGATCCTCGGCCATCTAAATAGATGGAGAATAGAGAATAAGCATACATTTTTCTAATAAAATGAAGGAATGAGATGAACGAAATCCTCTCAAAGTACAAAATAATATATAATACGTATTATTAATACAGAACATAGTACATTCTGTTTCAGTAACATATTTTATATTTTGTATTTCATGTTACTAGACAATATTCATTACATCCTGCACTATATATATATATATATAAAATAACATAACA